GTGTTTTATATTTACGTCTGTGTCCTATTTGGGTTAATTTTTGTGAAGAGTGTAAGGTGTGTGTCTAGATAATTTTTTTTTTGCACATGAATGTCCAGTTGTTTCAGTACTATTTTGTTGAAAACCGTTTTTTTCTCCGTTATATTGTCTTTGCCCTTTAGACAAAGATCATTTAACTGTATGTGGGTCTATTTCTGGCCCCTCTGTTCCATTCTGTTGATCTGTTTATTTCTTCTTTCAACAATAACACAATCTTCGTTGTGCTAGCTTTCTAGTAAATCTTGAAGTTGGTTAATGTCAGTCCTCTAATTTTGTTCTTCAGTATTGTGTTGGCTATTCTGGGTCTTTTGCCTCTTCAAATAAACTTTAGAACTTTAAAAAAAATATATATATATATATATCTCCATAAAATGACTTGATGGGATTTGATTGAAATTGCATTGAATCTGTAGATTAAGTTGGGAAGCACTGCCTCCTTGATAATATCCTTTTCATGAACATGGAATGTCTCTCCATTTATTTGGTTCTTTGATTTCAGTCATCAGAGTTTTATGGTTTTCCTCATACAGATCTGTACATATTTTATAAGATTTATAACTAAGTATTCATGTTTTTCTGGGTGCCAATGTAAATAGTATTTTTAATTTCAAATTCCACTTGTTCATTAGTAGTATATAGGAAAGTGATTGACTTGTATGTTAACTTTGTATCCTGCAACGTTGCTATAATTGCTCATTGGTTCCAGCATATGCCACATATTTTTAGTCTTATAGTTCTTAGAGAATACGATTCACTTACTTAATGATTTTTATGTTCACATCTTTCAATTATATAAAACAGATATAGTAGTTCTGTTGTTAAAGTACATTAAATATCTGCATTTTGGCTATAAACTACAAGATTTAGAAAACCTGAAACAATTTAGATTTTTGCTACTTTGATATTGAGACTTGGGATCTTAGTATCTTATTTTAATTAAAAATATTCTTAATAATGAAAATCAATTATACTGCTATTTCTAAAAATGACATTGTGAAAAGTGGCCTAGCATGGTGACTCATGGAAAGCTGAGGCAGGAGGGTCACTTGAGGCCAGGAGTCTGAGACCAATGTGGACAACAGAGCGAGACCCCTTCTTTACAAAAAGTTTTCAAAATTAATGAGGCGTGCTGGAAAGAACCTGTAGTTCCAACTACATGGGAGACTGAGGTGGGCAGATTACTTGAGCCAGGGGTTTGAAATTTCAGTGAGCTGTAATCATGCTGCTGTACTCCAGCCAGGGAAACAGAGTGATACCTTGACTCTTAAAAAGCACAAAAATAGGCTGGTTGCAGTGGCTTATGCCTGTAATCCCAGTACTTTGGGAGGCTGTGGTGGGTGGATCACCTGAGGTCAGGAGTTCGAGACCAGGCTGGCCAACATGGTGAAACCCTGTCTTTACTAAAAATAGAAAAATTAGCTTGAAGTAGTGGCATATGCCTGTAGTCCCAGCTACTCAGAAGGCTGAGGCAGGAGAATCTCTTGAAGCCGGGAGGTGGAGGTTGCAGTGAGCCAAGATTGCGCTACTGCATTCTAGCCAGGCGACAGAGCGAGACTCCATCTCAAAACAAAACAAAAACTAAAAAAATAAAAACTAAAAATGACTATTTGAAAAGCAAAAACAAATACATGGCATTGAAAGCATGCTTAAACTAGAATTCTATGATTTTTATGGTTTGATTTAAGATTCTATGATTCTGATTATGTAAATTTGGGAATACTGTTGATGAACATTTAGCTGAATGTACATTATAGGATACAAAGAGAGGAATATTCCGTTTCTATGGAATTCAAGAAGGGGTTTCACAAAGAAAGGTTGGTTTAGACTAGATTTTTAAGGGTAAGCAGAAGTATGTCCGGTGAGTAAGAAATTGAATTTTACTTTTCCTCAATAACAGTAACAGCAGCATTTATTTTACATTTAATATGTACCAGGTATTATTCTACATTCCACTTATATTGACTTATTTAAATCACTTTTTTTTTATAGAGATGGGGTTTCATCATGTTGGCCAGTCTGGTCTCAAATTCCTGACCTCAGACAATCCACCCATCTCGGACTCCCAAAGTACTGGGATTATAGGCATGAGCCACCATGCCTGGCCTTATTTAAATCTTTATGAGGTAAATTCTGTTTTTTGAAACGTCCATCTTACAGATGTAGAAATGGAGGCACAGCAAGATTATGGTAACTTGTCCAAAATCGCACAGCTAGTGATGATAGAATTCAGCTTTTATCCCAGGCTTCTTGTCCCTTGTGCTGTTGTGCCAGTCTGACTATTATTTATCTTCAGTAAGATTCAACTTATGAAATGATTGAAATTTCACAAGTTCAATCCAGTGTTTGAAATTCAAAAACATTTTCCTATAGAAATCATAATTAGTAATGATATTTTTAGAAAATGTTTCCTGATCCTGGCTAATACCTAATTTATCTCATAAAGTATTAAGAAATTAATCATTACTATCAGGCATAGATAGCAGTACTGATTGACATTTCTAACTAATTGTCAAACACATCTGCTATTGCTACAGTAAATCATAAGATTCCTTCATATTCCTTCTACCTTAACTGCATCCACTTAAGGCACTCCTTTACACCAAAGCCTTGGTTTTTTGTAGGCTTGAAGATGCACTTCTAGTAATACTGATGAGTTGAAGAGCAATTTGAGAAATTGAGGATGAGGAGTTGTGCTGAACTTGAATTTCTTATCAGTTTAAGCATTTAGTGAGTCACACTTGTTCCAAGCCTGTCTCACAGTTATCCCAGTTCTTTTCCTGTGGGCTCCTCTTCTTTCTACTTGGGCTACTTGTTTGCAACTAGAACTTTGTTTCTTCTTCAGGTTGCAAAAAGGAATGTAATCTTGTAGAGTACCTTGTCTTCCCTTCCATACATTCAGCAGATATAGTCCCTTTAAAGGATTTTAGTGCTAGGAGAATTTCAAAGGCCATATTCCCATGTTACTTCTTCACAGGTATTTATTTATCACAGAAAGTCTCTAGGGGAAAAAGAGACAATAATGTAGGGTGTTGTAGTGAATCTTTGGAAGCAGAAGCAGAGAGGTTCGGATTGTGAAGAGGGGATGAGATAAATAGTAAGTGACACTGCAGAGAGAAAGGGAGATTTTTCTCTACTAGTAGAAGTAGCTTATGAAGAAGGAACTTCAATAAACTATTCTGCTCCATTTTATAAATACATGATTATAGATTGCCAACAGTTAATCCCGGGAGTACTTGATTACTGCAAGGCTATGGCAGTTTTTAAAGTCAGATTAGTACTTTTATCTTTGTCATAAGTAATTAGAAGCCCTTTGATATACTAAATTATTTGTTTATATAGCTATCTTATGTCTGCCTTTCACACAGTGCTTAGCTGATTTTTGTTATCTTCTACTTGGTAATTGCCACCGTTTGCCCCAATGTGGTGAACCACTTAGAAAAAGCAATGCCATAGTTTCCTGCTTTCTTTTTCTAAAAGAAAAAGTCATACAGCAAGATTCTGTTACTGAAACCAAGACTTCATTAACTTGACTATTATTGAATATTTTTATTATACCTGGAGATTTTGGCATTTTTACAATGAGCATAAGTGGTTGTTCAAATTCTTAGGGGTTGATGGAGATATGTATTTAAGTATTCATGTTCCATAACTAGAACCATTTGTTCCTGCATTCGCTCTTGGTCAAGAGAGAAAACATGGCATTTTTTTCTCAAAAGATTTGTTTTTATTCATGGTTAAATTCATTACTAGAATTTTACTTATTTTTAAATCGATGCTTACTACTCCCTCTGTGAGATTAATTAACATCAGGACAATGAATCTTCATTGTATCAGTTATTACTAGACACTGCAGTTGTTTGGGTAGGATATTGCAAGTCGATTATAGCAGTCTTATCACAATCTTTAAGAGAAAAAAAGTAGAAAAGAGCCCGGATAACTGAAATTAGAAATAATTGCCAACAAAATATGTTTTCTAGTCAGTAGGAACAGATAAGCAAGCTTTAAGAACATTCATTGTACTGCAGGTCATAGCTTTAATTGAGACATTTAGTTAAGATTAAAACTATTTTCTAATTTGATTTCAACTAACATTTATTTATTTATTTATTTATTCAACTAACATTTATTAATAGAGAGCTTCCCATTTTATCATACATATCAGAAGTGTTTAATGTTATCATAGTTCTTTCTCTTGTTAGCCACTAAAAAGAAAATGTTTCAGATTATAAAGAAAATGAATCATTTAAAAAGAGAGAATTGGCCATGTATCTGAGAGACAGATTATTTTTTTAAACTGTAGAACTGTTGGCCTTCACAAGTCTTTCTTGAGAGAAATTCCCACAAACTACTAGTTGAGGTGAATATGATGGGTGGTCAGCTAGGTTTACTCCTTTAATTTGGAACTCTGATTTCCTTTCAGGTCTTGTAAATATTAGCTCATTTCATCTTTATGAGAAAGGATTATTATTCATTCCATTAACAATAATTACACAGCCTTTGATGGTGGTTTAGAAATGTTAAATCTGTGAATGCCAATGATTAATAGTGTGTTTAGCTAAAGTGTTACAATCATAGACAGGAAGATCTACTTGGTATTTTGGAGATCATTTGGAGATTTATTTGCATTAAAAATACAATGGGACAGGCATGGTGGCTTATGCCTGTTATCCCAGCATTTTGGGAGGCCGAGGTGGGTGGATCACCTGAGGTCAGGAGTTCAAGACCAGCCTGGCCAACATGATGAAACCCCATCTCTACCAAAAATACAAAAAAAAATTAGCTGGGCGTTGTGGCAAGTGCCTGTAATCCCAGCTACTCTGGAAGCTGAAGCAAGACAATCACTTGAACTTGGAGGCGGAGGTTGCAGTGAGCCGAAATCATGCCATTTCACTCCAGCGTGGGCAACAAGAGTGAGACTGTCTGGAAAAAAAAAAAAATCACAGTGAATGCATTTACCTAACAGTTAACTTTAGGGGTACACATTAAATTTTTTTGACTTTGTGTATGGCTTAAAATTTAAACTGAAATTTTTATTTTAAATTTGTTTAATGAAGCTTTGTTAGTGCACTTAGCAAAGTTTTGATTTTTAGTTTGTTTAAAGGAAAGGTGTTTTTGTTTTGTTTTGTTTTGTTTTGAGACAGAGTTTCTGTTGCCCAGGCTGGAGTCCAGTGGTGTCATCTCAGCTTACTGTAACCCCCATCTCCCTTGTTCAAGCGATTCTTGTGCCTCAGCCTCCCGAATAGCTAGGATTACAGGCTCCTGGCTAATTTTTATGTTTTTAGTAGTGATGTGGTTTCACCATGTTGGCCAGTCTGGTCTGGAATTCCTGGCCTCCAGTGAGCCGCCTGCCTTAGCCTTCCAAAGTCCTAGGATTACAGGCTTTAGCCACCACACCTGGCAAAGTATTTGTAACACAAAGCTATCACATTAAACTGAGAAGATTGTCTTGTAAAAACAGATATACTCCTTCCTTTGAGAAAGGAGAAAGCACAATATATTGTCTTTTACTCTTAAAGTGAATACTTTTCTTTATGCCAACGTTTGTTTAGTGTGTGACACACAGTAGGAACCTGACTGCAATGAAGAACAGTGGGAAAAATTTATGCTATAACTATTTATTTTATCAAAAGATAAAGATTTATTTAACTTGTGTTGAGTATCAGCCATCTCCCACCATCCTGGGAAATGGAGGCTGAAGAAATGAGATGAATGCCATTTCAGAGGGGAGAGACCCTTAAATTTGTGGTCACAATTGAATATAATACAGTTTAGTTTGGAGCTATGCATGTGTTCTTTAGTAGAGGTTGGAAAGTCAAGGAACATTTTGTAGTGGACATGAATGTTGAAGACTGAGTAGGAGTTGGTCTGAACAAGCTGATTTGTGCATGTCAAATATGTCTAGCTTTGGCTAATGACTTTGAATATATACCTGTAGAGATATTTTTATAATGTCAGAAGACACTCTTATAGTTAAAGAAGAGTGGCAGAATGGCAGAATTTAGGAAGCTTTCTTCTATTGAATCTTTTGTTACTTTTTAGTACTGTAATGAAACATTTATGCATGTTTTGGCTAGAGATAAAGTGGCTTGTTAATATGTTTAAAAATATTTTGTTCTTTGTCAACATTTTAATGACTATGATATGCTTTATATGAGACATTGCATTATTTATTCAACCTCTTTTAACTGTGGAAAGTTATCATTTAAAATAAACAACTGTTAATTTGAATACCAATATGTTAAAATGGTTTATGACTTAGGTTTAATTAGAATGTGCTCTATTCTTATGAAAAATTATCTTTTTCCTTGCCCTTTTATTGTTGGTCTTCCATTTGCCTTATCATTTATACTGAGGAAAATGTCTTTTTATTTCTAAATTTAATCAAAATCTGATAAATGAGTTTATGTCATCATCTTTCCAGAAAGTCTGGAGCTGGTATTTTTGAAGTAGTTACATCAAATTCACACATTCTACTGTTGTAGTTCTAATCCTTAAAAAAATTTAGAATATATCTCGGCATCATATTGAGGATTTATGCTTTTTAACCTTTGAAAGGACATTAAATTTCTTATTTTTCTGAGTTAGAAAATGGCAAAAAAATTAGCTTGCACTTTTTAAGGAAATTAAAAATGTGTTTTGTGCTGTAAAATATTAGTGCTGACAAACCAAACTAATTCTGTAAACAATTAAATTTGGAAACTTATCTATTTGAGTTCACATTATAGTTGTTGACAATTATGTTTTATATGTGATTCTATCTGTAATATTAACATGAACTATATGAAATTGCCATTTTGTAGGTCAAGACAAGTATTAGCAATTTCATATTCAATCAATAAATCTTCATTAGCTATCAATAGATGATCTCATCCTTTAGCTACTTTTCTACCAAATCCTTCTGTTCTTTTTATTTCATACTTAATATGGGCCCCCGTTTTTTACTTCCAGTCCAGTTTATTGTGTCTGTAAGGGCTACAGCTATGTTTGAAAACCAATAACGGCCACAGTAGTGGGATACTAGAGATGCTCTATGAGAAGGAAGTCTGCTGATCTCTTCATGATTGTTTTATGCTGCTTTTACCAGCTTTGGCCTTATATGGGAGAATTTCTTTTCTGAATTAACTGTAGACAGCCCTCAGTTCTATTAAAGAACCTAATGGAAATAACCATCTTCAAAAACCCAGTTTGGGTCCATCAATTCCACATACATAGTTTCATCAGACCTTTGTTTTCAAGTTTCTATACCTCTTAGTCACATTGCCAAAGTGGTAATCCTGGTTTTTATCTTATAACATGACATTTTTTTCCTCCTTTTAAGTTCCTGATCTTGGTGTTGTTAGTCTTCAAGTTCTTCTTTCAAATGTTGTCCATTTTGGTGCCTTCTTTGGCTCTTTTGATTAGCCACTTAATTATTCTGGATTTTCCTATTCTTGTAATCTATATAAGGTCCCACCCATCATTCAATCTTTTTTTTTTTCTTATAATTTTTTTTTTTTTTTTATAGATACAGAGAGTCTCAGTCTGTCAGGATGGAGTATAGTGTTGCACTCATGGTTCACTGCAATCTCAACCTCCTGGGCTCAAGTGATTCTCTCACCTCAACCTTCTGAATAACCAAGCGCATGCCGCCATACCTAGCTAATTTTTTTGTTTTTATTTTTGGTAGAGAGGGGAGTCTTGCTGTGTTGCCCAGGCTGGTCTTGAACTTTGTACCTCAAGTAATCCTCCTGCCTTGACCTCCCAATTTGTTGAGATTATGGACACGAGTCACCACACCCTGCGAAATCAATCATTTTTCTGATGTTTTTACCTAAGCTGCTGGATCATGCAGATTTGCAGGTGCTTGGCAATGATTCAGCCAATTCTTGTGTTCCTCTCTTGTCAAAATTTTCACAAATTTTAGCTGCCCCTTCCTCCTCTCCTTTCTTTTACAGTTCAACTCCTTACCCCTTTATGGTTTTTAGATGATCCAAGAATTTTGAAATAATCTGTAATGAGTTTTTCAAAATAAGTCTATCTGGAAGGTAGGAGATCTAGAACCTTGACCTAGTTTTTCCACTACTTTGATTAAATTCATATAAACTGTGAAGACCTCTGTTTTCAGAATTAATACATCTCTATACTTATTTGTGCTTTTAATTCAGTAGAATGTATCAGATCTTGTAATAGATAAACTTTTTTATGTTTTTGGTCTCACCTGTTTCTGACCCTTAAGCAATTAAATTCCCACATTTAACTCTTCAGCACCTCCCTAACACTGGTTTCTTCCCTTTTGCTGTAAGCGTGTACCTTTCTCTCCTATAATAAATATATATTATACATATATGTATTCTAGGAACCATCAGATTTTTCTTTTATTGCTTAATTTATCCAATATTTAATTATGCCACTTATTTCCATTTTATCTTTACATAATTGCCTAAGTTTTATCTTACTGAAACTTGCAGAGATAATTACTAATCTCATGCCTAATTTCTTTTTTTCTCTAAAAATTTTAATTTAAAAAATTTTGCCTTTGATTTAGAAGCTGTTTTTGTTCAAGCTTTTATGGCAATGCTTGGACTATTTCAGTGGATTTCTAATTCAGTTTCTTGCTTCCAATTACTTTTACTCCTTTAATTTTTTCCCCCCTTTATAGTGGCAGAGTCATTTCTCCAAAATATATTTGGTTAATTCCAGGCTTTAGATCCTGGGATTATTTCCAAGTACTTGTAGAAGAATCCATTGTGTGCAACCCCTACCAAAATCTAGCCAGGTGGAACTTCACATTATTTCCGGATCGTGTCATTTGTTCTCTTTGTACAGGTAGGTATAGCTGCCTGACCTTCTCTTCCTTTCCTGTTCTGATAGTGCAATACTCTTTTTAACCTTGTCAAATTAGTTCAGATGTCACCTCTGTAAACCAGTATTTCCCAGACACCTCTTGTAGATTTAAACACTCTATTGGAGTGTTCCCATAGAGTCAACATTGGGCATTGACTTCTACCTCACTATTTATCATATTTTATTTGTAGGTGGCAGTGAAGGGTGACTGACACTTAAAGTGTTTGATAAAATCCATGTATGATGAAAGAAATGAGTTAAGTACTCCTTCCAGGACCCGTGGTAGACTAGATTGTAGCCAAATTAACGGTATTTACATATCAAAAGAGAGTAATTTTTAGATAGGTTTTATCTAAAGAAAGAGTATATCAATTATAATAGCTAGAATTGAATGTATTTACCCCAAATTATTTGGGTTTGAGAGTATTCTACACTCTGGGTAGTATTTTGTATATTTCATTAGACTTTCATCACTCCGTATTTGCTGCTTTCTGCCCTAAATCACTACTCACCAAGCCTCCTGTTTCTAATTTGCCTTCCAATGTATCATTAAGACAATAATTGAATGGAAGACTTATTAAACATAAATATCTCATCCACTTCATAGTTTGTTTCACTGTATGTTAACTGACAAAACTGCTGAGAACAGGTTCTGATGTGTGTGATAAATTCTGTTGTTTGATGAGAATGGCAGCAAGGAAAACAGAGCCAGCCCCCAAAGCAGAAAACTGCTCAGGGCATTCTAAGACATTAAATAATATAAATATGTCTCACACCAGATGAACTAGTTCTTTGAACACAGGATATATGACTCTGCCTCCATTGTTCCCTTGTAAAGGATGCTTTCTGGTTTATCTTTAACCTATAGTAGACACATACTAGCTACCTGGTTAGTTTACCTTTAATCTATGAAAGAACACAGAGCATCCGCTTGTTAAACTTATCACTGGAATGCACAGAATAAATACGTGGGTCAGAATCTGCTCTAGGCTTTCAGCTGGGAATGCTGTCAGCTCCCTGAGCCCACCTTTGCACTCTGTCTTTGTGTCTGTTTCTTAATTCCTTCAGCGCCGCCTGGGTTGGGGTCTCCATGACCGAGCTGGTCTGGGCACAAAACTCTTACAAACCTTATTACTACCAGTCT